ATTGTTGTTCTTTGAGGCTTCTAAGTACTAAAGATTCAATCTTTAATTATGTTAAGTGATTGAAACTTTGAGTTACTAAATTCCATGAATTTTTGTTGAACTTTGTTGATTTAATCATTTTTTTAGTTGATTGGAATTAATCATAAAGTTTGAAACTTGTGATAGAAATTTGTTTATCTTCATATTGGAAGATATAATTTTCAAGGATTCACATGTATTAAAGTTGGAATCTTTATTGAACTTATGTTCAATTTTTCCAACTCTCTTTTAATTAATAGTGAGTAATTGCCCTCTTATTTTTGTTGCGCCAAGTTAAACCAATTTTATCAAAGAATGGTTCTTTTTTGGTTTCTTTTTGGGAAGAAGAGTATGTACTGTACGTATCATAAAACTAATATATAAAGATAAACTTTTAGTCAGATCACGAGACAGTGACACTTGGCATTCCAAATTTTTGCCAAGTGTCGCGCCACGTTGGATAAATTTAAATAGACTTCATAAGATAAAAAAATTAGTTTATAGTGAACTCTATTTGGATAAAATTTTAGGATAAAATTGTTAGTTTAGAGTTTTATTTTCGTTAAAATTCCAATATTTTAGATGTACAATTGAATTATAATTTTATCCAAAAAATTATTAGATTACAATCCTCAAAAATTAACATATAATGTTTATTTTTTTTATATCATAATATTTTTTGGAGCGAAGGAAGTAGTTCTAGGCGTAAAACATCCATTTATATATATATTAATTGGTTAAAATGATATACTTCACAATGTTAAAGAATATTATTACCATGTAGATCTGTCAATGAGGGTCGCCGGGTCGCGTCATGAGTCGTCTCAGATTGGGTCGGTTCAGGTTACGAGTCAAGAAATGTTCAACCCTTGCCCAAAGTTTTGGGTTCTGGTCAACCCAACGGGCTTTAAATATTTATTTTATTTAATTTATTTTTTTGCTAATTTTTTATTTTTTAATGTATTAAATTGAACATTTCCACCAACAATATTATTCGTCATTACATGCCTACTAGATATCAAATCGTCACAAATGCACATTAATTCCTAATTAATTTTGTATCAATGATATATTTTAAAATTTGATATATAGATTAAAAATTTATCTTAAAATTCAATAAACAACTCGAGCATCGCACGGGGCACAAAACTAGTTATGAATAAAGGAATAAGGAGTGATAGTTCTTGCTTTTTTGGCAGTAGCTTTCTTTTTAATAAATTTTAGAAACTAATGGATTCAAATTAGTCGTATTTTTTTTTTAAAGAAAATGGATTCAAATTATTAACCCTAGAAACTAAAATTTAGTCGTAAAAAATTATATGAGCGTTACAAATTAGCGACCACATAGCAACTATTACAAAATCGGTTACAAAATTTGCAACTACTCGTGTTTTTTAGGTCGTAAAAAATAATTTGAAAAATTTTCAATGGTGATCTCCAACTTCTACTACGCACATATGGTGACCCTCTTGAAAATAGATTATACAAAATGATCTTATTTAAAAATTTTACCTCACTTATAACCTTATTTCATTAAATTGTAAATAAAAATTAGCTATGGTTATATTTTTTTCTAAAAATAAAAAAAACAAAAAAAAAAAAAATCTAACCACCAACCCAACCAGCCTCACCACCAACCCGCTACCTCCTGCTAACCCCGTCCCCCCTGTCGGCGATGCTCTACCCTATCCCCACTGTCACCCAAAACCTTAAGCCCCGCCAACGAAACTCTTTCTACTCTTCACACCACAACCACCAATTTTTGCTCAAATTATGTTCGCAATTGAGCAAATAGGAGCATTAATTCGTTCGATTGTCCTCTACTTTCAATCAAAATTTGTTTTTCGAACCTTAAATCAAGCAATAGTCGATTCTTGGTTTTTTCTTTTTTTTCTTTTTTTTTTTTTTCCAATTTCTAGGGTTCTTCCAATTTCAATCTATATTGTTCGAATTTAGACAATTAGCCATAAATTTTAAGCGTGCTTCTTGTTCGACCTTCTGTATATGTGAAATTATAGCTGATTTTCAACAAATTGGATCAGTTTTCTACTGATGTTATGGTTGTTTCTTGAACTTTTTCAATCGCTTAAGTTTTCGCTCATTTTTTTGGGTTTCACGTTCTTGGCTTAGAGATCAAATTAAAGATTGTCTCGAATTGAAGTTTATGGGTTTTGTCACCGACAATCCCCCTAACCCGGTGGCTAGGAGTGTCACAAAAATGGATATCTCCACAGGCTCGCGGCGGTCGAATAGGAATGAGATCTGAACGGAGACTAAAGTTATTCTTGGAGGAGTGAGTCGGACTCGGAGGTAACTCGTGTCGAGTTTGCGAGTTTGGGAAGAGTGGAGACCAGAGAGGAGGCGGGTTACGATGGGGTGGTCGAGGTAAAGCTGGCGTAGTTTCACCTGTGGTCGAAGAGAGCCTGGGTAGGGCGTCGGTGACAGTCGAAGAAGCCTAAGGTAGTGTCACCAGAATGGGAGATGTTGACTAGGAAGGTGGGGGTGGGTGATTTTTGTTTGTTATTTTTTTATTATTATGAATTAAACCATAGTTAATTTTAATAAACTATTTCATGAAATAAGGTTATGAGTGAGATAATTTTTTTAATTAGGTCATTTTGTATAATTGATTTTTAAGAGGATCACCATATGTACGTGGAATTTAGGGGCCACCATTGAGAATTTTTAAAATAATTTTTTGCGATTGATTATTATGGTAGTCGTAAAAATCAGCTGTTAAATCCCTTTTTCTTATAGTATTACTATATTACAACAAATTTTGGCTACTTATTATAATCGCAGAATTAATCTAGCAGTATTACAAATGTTGAAACTAACCTTAATATTATTACTCATTTATTGAAACTAGCCTTAATATTAGTTCTTATCTGTTAAATCTCAAATCAATATTGCGTAACTCATACAATCAAACCAGGCCTAATCTAATTGTATAGCATTATAACAATCAATAGAAAATTAACACAAAACATTAACAATCAATAATAAATAATCACCCCCTCGTATTATCCATGGATCACCAAGACCCTCGATAGGAAACAAGTCACGTACACATAATTAAACCTAAACTAATCAAAACAATTAAGGAAATCATAATTAAATTAAGCAATAAAAATACGAGAAATAAAAAAGGAAGAAATAATTGCCAAAATAAAGGAAAATATGAATAGCATTAAACAAATGTGGAACAATCTTGAGAGAACAATCAACTAGAAAATTGTAAACTAAAAATCTGGAATTAAGCTAATGGCAAGACGTCCTTAATTATGCTTAAAAAAATGTATCTATACTAAACCAAGAACTTCTTAAAATTAAAGAGAATAAAAATAAGCTAATGTTGTTAAGCTTCACACACGCCAGGCAAGTCTTTAGGCAACCAAGCTACTTCTCTAGCCCGGTCAGACGAGTGAATATGGCAACCTAATTTTCCCTTTGTTTGGGCTTCTTGCTTGCTATATTTCGAATCTCTTCCTTGATCTTCATAACTTCGGTCTAATGCCTCAGTTCTTCTTCTTTGCCGAGCCCTTAATCATCAGGCTCAATTACTTTTAACACGGTCCTTGGCTTCAAAAAGTGGCCATAAGAGTGTGTTCCATGTGCAATACTCGTAGTTGCTAAAAAATCCTGGAAATTACCTCAAAATTCGCAATTTTCTATAAAATAATGTCAAAACTACAAAGACACTAGGAAATGCATATTATTAATAAAAAAATAGCTTTGGAGAGCCAAAAATACTTATAATTATGACCATGTGACAAGGACAAAACACTATATAAAATAAACATATCACCACCACCTTGCGAAATTGGGTTTTAGATGGTTCGAGTTTGAATTTAGTGTTTGGGGGGGGGGGGCTGGGATTGAGGAAGGGGTCGGGGTCGTTTTGAGGTAGGGGGAAAGGTAGGGGGCATTCAATGGTAGGGGAAAACGGAGAAAGTGGGTACTCAGGGTAGAGGAAAGGGAGGAGCAAAGGATAAGGGTGTCGCGGGGGGGGGGGGGGGGGGGGTGGGGGTTACCAGCATCAACAGTGGAGGGGAGAGGGTGAGTGGCTGACTGGCTTGGGCTATAGAGGAGGTCGCCATGAAAAGAGAGCGGGGTTTGGAGACGAGGGATGGGTGGCTATTGTGAAAGGGATGGGTTTAGGGTGACCAACGCCATGAAAGTGTGGTTTTATGGGTGGGGCTTGGGATCAATGGTTTCGTGGGTGGGGTTGGGATAGTCGACGCTGGAAAATAGGGTCAAACCTTATTTTCCAACATAAGGTACGACTTCACACAAAAAAGAAAAAAAATTTGATTCGAGTATGATCTTACCCACAAAAAAAAAAAGAAAAAAAAATGAGGTTTTTGATAAAATTTCCTTACAAAAATGACTATTTTGAACTTCTAATTTAATTCCAAAACTAGCCAAACGTTACATATAACCATTTAACCATTTTATTTTATAACACTTTTCTTGTGAGCTGGATTGGTTTATTTCTTATTTTTAGTTTTTAATTTTGTAATGTCTAAGAGTATTTTATTATAAAATAATAACCACTCTACATCCCAGCTATATTTAAATTATTGTTTTTCTAATACATGGTACCTATATGAAAATTTTAACTTTTTCATCGTCACAACCAAACAACTTAATAAAATTACTAAGAATTTCAAATAAATTTGTATAAAATACAAGCTTTTATATAAATTTATTTTCCACTTCAACTAAATGATGCTTTAGAATATATACTCCTATAAAAAAATTACTCCCTCTGTTCTAGACTATCGGGGATGTTGGAACTTTATCACTATCCATGCATTAACTTTGACCATAGTTTTTTACTAACATATTAACAAATTGTATTATAATATATGTTACGTAAGTACTAATGTAAAATTTCATAATATAATTTTTATAATATTTTAATTAATAATTATTATATAAAAATAAAATCGTTTATTAAAAAAAAAAAAAAAAAAAAGTCAAGTTAGTGTATCGGTATGTGTACAAAGTTGATTGTAATAGTTATTTTAGAACAGAAGAAATCTAGAATAATAATCGTACATGCATGATGAATAAATTTTATCCATTTTGTAGAACCCCACCTATATAATTCTATATAAACCCCTCATATCCCTACTCCTACTCCAATACATCAACCAAAAACATTTCAAAAACCGTACAATATAATTCCTTAATACTACTTCACATTGTTATCCTTGATATCACCAAAATATACTGTAAGAAAAAATGGGAGCAAGATTGTCTACAATCCCAGAAAATAGATCATCTGTGGTTACAGCAACCGCAGTTCCGGCTCCATGCCCTCCGGCTTATAATAAACCGGCCGCTAATCGTGACCGATACCGTTGGTCTAACAACTATAATGACAATAGGGTACCCGCTGCTCCTGTTTGTGCCACATTACCCCCTTCTTATTCCAACCCCTCTAATAATAATAACTTTATGGCCCCTTCATTTTCTGCCTCTAGGGTGCCATCTGTTGTTGTCAATGGAGGCGGCGATGTTGCTGGTGGTAAAGTTAGTGGTGTCAAAGCCGCCGATAACAAGGAAGTCATTGCCTTCCATTCCTCTACCAAGTGGAAGGAATACTTTGAAGCCTCCAAACAGTCTAACAAGCTGGTATACTTTTAACAATATTCGTGTTGCTTTGATAAAAGTGGCCTATGAAATAACATTAAACTGGTTTTATGTTCCGTATTTGTTATTCTGTACAGTTTATCTTACGCCATATTTGTGTGTAAATATTCCCACTTGAATTGCATGAATATTGTTCGATCTTAAGTTACTCCCTCCGTCCCTAAATTACATTCCTCCTTTCTATTTTTGGTATTCCAAAATTACATTCCTCCTTTTTATTTTTGGTAAGTGTTTTTTAGTAAATCAACTCTCTTTTTCTGTTTTATATTTAATGCTTTCTCATTCATTCTTATCTAATCTCACTCATAATCCTTGTGCCAAATTACAATGAATATGATTGGTTAAAAAATTTCAATTAGGAGCATGTGATTGTCCATTTTTTTTGCAAAGGATTGATGACATGTCATGAGTAATAACTAACCTATCTTTGTACTTCTAATTGCATTATCTAATTATTATTATTTGTCTTATTCTTCCCTCCTTAATTCACGTGTAAATTTTCAAAGAGGAATGTAATTTAGGGACGGAGGGAGTAATTAAAAGGATATACATAGTATATATATGAAGAAAAAACAAACTTACTTTTTTAAGTGTTAGTTGGTCATTTATTGAATATTGTTGTTTTCGTTATGTACTTTACTAAAATAAAACTAAGGAAGTACTAATTCATTTGTTGGGCAAATCTATTTCAGGTTGTGATATATTTCACGGCGACTTGGTGTGGACCATGTCGTTATATGGAGCCAACCATCAAAGAGATAGCTGCTAAATACAGTGATGTTGATGTGGTCAAGATTGATGTGGATGAGCTATTTGTATGCCCCTTTTTCCTAGACTAACCTTATTGTTACAAAATTTAATTTGAATAGTTATTATTACAATTTTATTATTCCATATTACTTATTATTCATGCTACTATAGCTTTGTATCCATAGTTTTAACTTTTGAGGCATACATGGCCGTTCACAATATTGTTCCTAACATATTTTATATTTATGGTACGGATGAAAACAGAATGTATCGTGTGAGTATGGAGTACAAGCAATGCCAACATTCTTGCTCATGAAGAAGGGAAAGCAAATCGACAAGATTGTGGGAGCCAGGAAGGAAGATCTTCAGAATAAGGTTGAGAAGCACAGGGCTTAAATTGCAGTGCTTGGTTCATACAGTATAGTAGTAGTATCAAGCTAAAGTAGTTTTAATTAGTGAAGCATCAATAAAAGTTTGATCAATGAGCGTTTTCTTTACCATATACTATATATGTATGTAGTAGTAATATTTGCTGATATATCATGATTGTAAACTTGAGGTTAAGGATATGTAAAAACCTACTTCGTATTATGTAATAGTACTTTTTTATATATCCCTACCTTATAAAAAGTAGAAAGTTGTTCTTATGAATAGTGAACGGACTTTTATACCCTTCAAAATGTTATTTTACCTTTGTACCCCTATTTACCCTTCAAAATGTGTTTTACCTTTATATCCCTATTTGTAATTTTGTACTCCAACAGTCCATCTTCAAATTGTTCTTATCCGTCTACATTATTTCCTTACACATTTGAGCTTTCTCTCCTCCTCTCCATGACTTCATCTCTTGAAAGCTTTTAACTTTCTCTCTCCACACTATCATTGCCATTTCCATGTACTAAATTTCACATCTTTGTTCACCACCTTCCCAAAATTTCCAAATCAAATTGTGGCAAAAAAAAAAAATAGCTGACAATACCAATATAAAGTGGTTGTTTAATTTGTTAGCCTATGTGGTGGGTTAGGAATTGGTTGTTTCGGTTTCATCATTGATGATTCTTTCTCTAATTCGTATTATACCACCACAATTAAGGGCTTGTTCTCATTGGCTGAACTGAGCTTAATTGAACTGAACTGAATTGAGTTGAACTGAACTGAACTAAACTGAACTGAATTGAGTTGAACTGAACTGAAATGAATATTTTATAAGAGAAGGAAATTAGGAGCTGAACTGAACTGAACTGAGCTGAAGTGAAGTGAACTGAACTGAACTAAACTGAATTTCAACGTAAGAGAATAGGGCCTAAGTAATGCTAATATCAACAGTGCAAAAATAAACAAACAACAATTTTAACATTTATTCCTTTTCTACATTATCATTGAAAAATCTAAGAATTATATTCACTGTGACTTAGTGACTGTACATAGTATTCCAATTAAAAGAATCACCATATACAAATAATAAAAATAAAGATTTTTTTTTCAATATACGAGATATTTCACACGTAACATTCAACTTAGCGTGACTACAAACAAACAATGCCTAAGAAATAGAAATACTACCTCTAGTTCAATTTACTTGCAACAAAGGGGTATTATTTGGAGACAAAAAATATTCCTTTGTTGCGAGTAAATTGAACCAAATGTAGTTTATTCCTTTGCCGGTCTTTTATTCCTCCATGTGAAGTGCAAACACAAGACAAGTAAAATTAAGTTGCAAAGGCTAGCCATGTCGCGCGCAACGCGCGCGTTGGCTGCCCTAGTATGTATTAAAAGTTTACATTAAGCCAAAGTATATTATGCAATGTAAATGTTTAATTAATTACACTCCGATCCTTATACATACTTTGTAACCTAGCCTTGCATGCATGTGATGTATGGAATATAATGAAAATGGACTCCCTTGGGCCAAACATTTTAGTAGTAGCTTGGGCAAGTAAGGTGGTATTTCGTGAGCAAACCGGGTACCCGGTCAAAATTTTAGGATCCGGACTTAGAATTGGTTGGAATCGGGTCCTAAAATTCGGATCCGGTATTGGAATTGGTTCAATCGGGTCCAAAAATTTAGGAATTGGTATTGGAACCCAGTGGCGGATCCAGGAATTCTAACTAGGGGTAGCATAGAAAAATAAAGGGAAAAAAAAAATTAAAAAAAGTATACCAGTATAGTAGTATTATCCTTTAATAATTAGTCATTAAATCTTAAAACAATTATTTTGGTAGATAAATTTTCATTTCACAAATATGGAATAAGTCAAGTTATCAATATGATCAAATTAAAAAAGAATACCATAAATATTTTTTTTTAAAAAAAACTACCATATATGATAATTTATATTAGTATATTATGAAAAAAAAAAAAATATAACTTAAATGAAGGTCTTTTAAAAAAATATAAATTACAAAAATAAGCAAAAGAATTTTTTCAAAAAAAATAATAAGTAAAAGTATTTTGTTTTAATTTTTTTTTAAAAAAACAGAACTTAAGAGATCTGTTTTAAATAAAACAGATCTCTTTTAGTTGAACATGAAAAACAATTAGAACTTAAGAGACCTGTTTTTATATAACAGGTCTCTTTTATATTAACATAAAAAAAGGCGCTAGATTTGCATTTGTTTGTAACAGCCTCTAAGAGACCTGTTATTTGAGATAACTCTTTTTTTTTTTTTTTTTTTTTTTTTTTTTTTTTTCAGGGGTAGCATGTGTTACCCCTTGTGCCTTCGTGGGTCCGCCACTGTTGGAACCATAGGGTACCGATTCTGATTCCGGGTACCCACTTATGTATGTAATTGTTATAATATAATACAAATTATAATTCTTATTTTAGTTAGGTTCATTTTTAGCGATTAATACTTATATTTATATATGCATTAAGCTATTTGTATTTATGTTAGGTATTAATAATACATTTTTAATTTACAAATTAGATACATTCAACATATTTTTATTATTTAAAATATATTTATTTTAGCATACATTAGGTAACCGGGTACCCAACCGGTTTCGTTTCCAAAAAGTTGAAAATTGGAATTGGTTATAACCGGGTCCTTAATTTATTACCCAGAATTGGAACCACCGGGTCCAATTCCAGTTTCGGACCCGCCGGTTCCTAACCGGTTCCGGATCCAATTTCGGGTACCCAGTTTTCTCACCCCTAATTTCAACAAGGATCAAGCGGCCGTCGGTCCAACTTGGCCTCCTTTTACTATTTAGGTCTATAATTGAGTCATGCACTTATGCTTTATTGAAGGATTATAATTTTAAGAAAGGCAATTAGTATCAGGTAATTCTATGTTCATGGTAGTCAAACCTATTATAGCAAATAAAAGTTGTATATAATACGAACCGGAGGTAGTACGTTTAAAACATAATAACATGCATATGAGACAATATAATGTGACATAAGAAGATTAGCTGCATGGTTCACGAACAAGTCTAGTGTCGAAAGGTTTGAGTGTACACTATCTAAATGTTTTAGCCGTCTTTAGAGTTCACTTTTTCAACTACAATAATACTTTTGAGTGTTTCACTCTTTTCTGGAGAATTCTGGAGATTTACCGATTTTATCGCTATTAAATTTGTTTGGTCGTAATAGGAATTGTGCTTGCTTTTCCTTCATTAATTCAAACTGTATGTGTCATCATGGAATTAAGCCAAACAAAAATCAAAACTTCAAATGCACTCTCTCAACTTTCTCTCTCCACTTTTCTCTTCAAACCTCTATGAAATTTAGGGGTTACATGACATATGGACGTATGCATAATTCTGAAAATCTTTTAATACCCTAACTATGTGCCAGTTTTCGAAAAATAAAAAAACTATGTGCCAGTTAAAGTGTACTATAACACTTTAAAATAAACGGATCGGAACTTTATCATAAATTCTATCATTCAAGTAAAAATGTAAGCTTTTGAAAACTATGTTGGTGTTAGGGCATCTCATCACTTGTCTTCTAATTGATTCTTTTTACACTATCCTTTTAGCTTTCTCCTCCTTTTAGGGTATATTTTGTTCAAGTTTATTTCATTTTATTTCAGTTCAGTTAATTTCAATTCAATTCACTTCAATTCCTAATTTCCTTCTCTCATGTATAATTCTTTTCAGCTTAGTTCAGTTCTATTCAGTTCACTTCAATTATTTTCTGTAAATCAAAACAGGCCCTTAGGTTGAGCTTAATTTCACTTCCATTTAGTTCAGTTCCAATCAATCCAGTTCATTTCAGTTCCAAATTTCCTTCTCTCATAAACAAGTCATTTTAGATCTATTCCATTCAATTTAGCTCCAATCAATTCAGTTCAATTCAGCCCCAAAGAAGCATCAAGCAGCACTAGTTTAGAATTTTCTCCTCGTGCTAGTGCCACCGTTTCTAGGACCGACTGATGAATCAATTAGTTCAATTCAGTTCCAATCAGTTTAGTTCAATTGTTTTCAATAAATTGAAAAAGACCCATAGTATGTTCCATTTTGTTTCATGCAAGATACTCATTCTAATGAATATGTACGTTCATGTTGGTACTAATCAAAAGTCAATAAGATGTTTCTCAGCCTTTCATTGGCACTTTGAGGTATGAATGAAGAAGTATTATCACGAGAAGTTGAGAGAATATTTTGTGCGTACTACTAATTCACAGTAGAGATGTCAATGGGGCGGGGCAGGGCGGATGTTGGTCTTCCCATCCCCATGCCCATCTAATATTTTCATCCCCATTTCCATCCCCATCCCCATCCTCGCGGCGGGTCCAATTTCATCCCCATCCCCGCCCCACCGGGTACAACTCCAAAACCATCCCCGCCCCACCCCCACTTGGATATCCATCCCCACCTAATCCCCACCAAAGCCCCGCCTAATCCCCACCCAAGATCCACCTAATATCCGTATCTCAAATACACAATCTTACATAATTAATACGAATTATAAAATAAAACATTCTATACACATTTTTTTGTTATAATATAAGTGTCGTACAAAGTATTATAATTAATATTGTATTTCATGTAATTATTTTATAAATAGAATAAAAGTATGTGTTTCGGGTGAAAACAATGGGACCTTGCCGAAGGTCCAATGAAGTGGAAGAAGACTTGTCTGGTCTAAATAATGCTGGGCCAAAGGTTTCCTACACAGCAAATACACGTAAACTGGCCTCGGGGGTGGATCCGAGGAAGACCCCTCCGATGCCGAAGTCAAACAGTGTTTAGAGAGAGAAAGCTATGCAAGAGATTTAGTGCTTGAGGCTTTAATGTGTATATGACATATAGTGTAATTGAAGGCTTTTATACCTTGGCATACACAAAGGGAGGAGAGTGATTGGGCCGGATTGGGTCACGGGCTGACCATGACAATTTGGACCAATTGACACATAGTTGACTTGGCTTGATTGGAGGCTTGGGCCTTGACCTTGGAACATTGGATCATTTAATGACTAGGCCCAATTAGCTTAATTAGACCCAAACAACTTGCCCCCCAGACCGATTTGGAAGGATGACGGGTGGGGTTTAAATCCAATAAAAATGGAGGGAAGTAAATGATTTAATTAAATCAAAAGATTTAAATTTTAAACAATCATTAACTAAATAACTGTAATTAGGATGATTAATGGGAAGTTGAGTGGATAGTGGACGGTTAATCAAGAGAGAGAAAGTTTAACGGTT